AAAAAAAACTTTAATTAGAGACAACATAAATTTACCATTCAATACAATTTGATAAAAAAAAAAGTCTTGAAAATTACAAAAATAAACAAGAATTAACATAAAAAAATACTTGATAATTTTACTCTCTTTGTAAATCACATTACAACTAAGATTCTTCTATATATCAATCCATTAAAATACTGAATAATAATAATATACTATAAATATAGTGTTATAATATATTAATATTGCTTCTATTAATATCTAATTGCAAAATATATAGCTTTATATATTACATCCAGTTTCAGTTCAGTTTAATTAGTTTTTAATAAGAATAAATATGTGTAATCTAACTGAAAGGTCATTTTAAAATTAGTTTTGTTCTTTTAAGGGGTTTTATGATGTAAGAGATTATTGTAATATTATCTTTAACTTGTCTTACATGTGATTAAAATTAGATTAAAGGCGCCTCATATTCATTCAGACAGCAGCTGTTTGGACTATGGTCTGACCCAAGATGGCGGCCCTGTAGACACGTCGGCCTTGCCGTCGGCAGGGTCTAATCACTCGTCTACGTATTAATGTCTATGTAATCGCCTATCTAAGCCAATAGTTGCCATCTGTCTGCATTGTTTTTTTGTTTTTTTTTTACAAATATCCACAATTGTCTAAAGGAATTCACACATTTGTACTTTTTAAAACTCCAACGAACAGAAATCCTTTACAAATACTTTGTGTTGGTTTATTAAATTAAACCCCAATGAAATATATTGAATGTTTTGTTTGTAAAATGACAAAACCATGAACAAATTGAGAGTCTTTGTATTTAGTGTAGGAAATCATTTCTCTCTTCTTGTGTTTGTCGTTTACAGCAGAGACATCTTGGACTATGTTCTGGGACAGGTCCCCCCCCCTCAGCCCCACCAGCCCAGGCCTCGCTTCTCCCTCTACCTGTCGTCTCAGCTGCAGTACGGCGTGGTCGTCGTCTACCACAAGCAGTGCAGCTTCCTGTTGGGTAAGATCAAATCTGCGCTGCTCACCTTTACTCATCCTTTCAGTTACCTTTCATTGATTTGTGAGGAAATGCAGGTTTTTCGTATCAGGGAATCCTCTGGTGTGAAACATACACCGTGCTGCCATCACACCGTCTCTCTAACCCTGATATGGTGAAAAGCATGAGCCAATATGATGCTTATGAAACCTGTAACCTTTATGTTTGTGGTTTTCCAGAGGAGGTTCAGCAATGTATCGGCCGCTGGCTCCGTTCTAAGCAACGTGCTCAAATCGACCTAGCTGAATCTGACAGGTAAACGCCAACCCTGGGCCCACAGGAGGAAGTAAAGAGCAGACTTGGAGTGTTTTGCTAAGGTGGTGATGAATGATCTGAGCTCCTCGTGCGAGATACTCCATAAATATTTTATGAGCCGCAGTATGGAACGGAGGCAGCATGTGATCCTTCACGACTGCCCCACATAACTCATCCGTTTTATTTCCAAATGTTCTGGAGGTGAATTTTACACCACGCACTCCTTATAGTGTCGTGGATCCATTAAAACCCGCTGTCTGGAAAAAACGCAGCAGGGAGATAAATGTCTGTTTTCTGACAGGATGGCTCTGGATGTTCCTGATGACCTGAACCTGATGGAAAAAGCTGAGGGAGCTCAGGACCCTTTCTTTGGTCGGATGGCATCTCACCAGCTGCCCAGCCCCGATAAGCTGGTGGTGGTACGTTCAAAAACACACAGCACTAATGTTTATGCTATTTTACAGAGCCAGTTTGCTCTGGTTGTAACGAAGCATACAGAATAAACACTCAGTTGCTCCTCCGATGAATGTTTAGTGTGTAAATACTGGCAGGTTGGGTGGAGAGCTTTACATTTGCATTCGGATAGTTTTCACACCCTTCAACTACATTATAACATAAATAATAGACATAAATAAGGGGTAAAAGAACATTTTTCAAATAAAAGATCTGAAAAGTGTGACCTGCACGTGTATTAACCCCCCTCTACTCTTGACCTGCCGTTTTTTGTTATTCTCTGTGTTTATTCAGATTTTCTGTTAAGAGTTTAAAGGATTTAGAAGAAAATAATTGATCAAACAGCAACATGAAGACGGAGGACGGAGCTGTAAACTCAATCCATCAACCAGAAATAGATCTAATCTACATAGACAGGGGCGTCTATTTAACCTGGGAGAGAACAATGTAGATACCAGGTGGTGGCAGCGTTATGGTGTGGAGATGCTTCTCTGCAGGGTCAGAATGATGGAAAAATGGATGTAGATAAATACAGTAACCATTATTTTATCAGGCAGTGATGGAGAGCATCATCGGGTTCTGGATGATGGTGTGGGTCAGCAGTATCTCCATACAGTCCAAATCAAAATTGCAGCTCCTGATACAGACTGCTGAAGGTGATGGGGAGAACTGAAAAGCTCTGCTTTCAGTCCATCTATGAGCCATCTGTACTGCTGGACCCGTCCCACATCCTTTATAAGGAATATGAGCTCCTGGCTTCTGGCAGAAGGTTCAGAATCCCAGAAACCAAACCGCTTTAAATGCCCCTTTATACCCACCTCCATCAAAATTAGAGATGCACGATATTGGGATTTTGGCCGATATGCCGATATTTTAAAACTCATGTAGCCGATAACCGATATCAATACTGATGTTAAAGCTGGACAAAAATAAGTAGTCATTGAAAATAGCAGTTTTGTTATCCATTTCTGACACTTTGAAAAATAATA